TTCTTGAATCTTATCCAGTGTATCAACAGTGGTCCATTCCTTGTGATGGTGCTTCTTCTGGTCCAGAACCTCATGACATGTTGGAGTGATTGCCTCTTCTATCCCTTTCCAGTTGCTCTCCATAGCAGTTCCTTCTCCATTGAGTAGATCATGAAAGGCCTGGAATCTATTGCTGAGTGCTATCTTGAAGAGCCGCATTGAACTTCTGTGATATTGTCCTCCCCGTTGTCCTATGCTTCTTGAGTTTCAATCTCATCTTGGCGACCAGCAGATGATGATCTGATGCTATATCAACTCCTCTCTTGGTTCTCACGTCCTCCATTGTCCTCTTGAACGTTTTGTTGATGCAGATATGGTCGATTTGGTTTCGCGTAGTGTGATCCGGTGAAGTCCATGTGGTTTTGTGAATGCGTTTATATGGGAATATAGTGCCGCCTATGACCAGTTTATTGAAGGCACATAGGTTTGCAAATCTCTCACCATTTTCGTTCCTTTCTCCCAGTCCGTGTTGTTCCATGATGTCTTCATATCCGGTGTTGTCCACTCCAACCTTGGCATTTAGGTCTGCCATCAGAATGGTTAGGTCCTTTGTTGGGCACTTCTCGACGATTGACTGCAACCTATCGTAGAATTGATCTTTAGCGTCTTCATTGTAATCGTTGGTAGGCGCGTAGCATTGGATGACGTTCATTGTAATGTCCTTTTTCTTTGTTTTGAAGGAGGCTTTGATGATCCTTGGTCCATGAGATTCCCATCCTATAAGTGCATTTTGTGCTTGTTTGGACAGCATCAATGCAACTCCTTGTGTATGTGGCGCATTTTCTTCATCGTGGCCGGAGTATAACAACAGCTCCCCTGAAGCTAGTCGTTGTTGTCCAACTTGCGTCCAATGCGTCTCACTGATCCCAAGCACCTCCAGATTGTATCTCATCATTTCTGCAGCAATTCGGAAGACTCTCCCAGTCTCCCACATTATACGAGCATTCCATGTACCTACATAAATGGTTGCTCTGGTTGTCAGAAAGGGCATCGGCCTCGTGACTTCCTAAGGAACTCGGCTTTCATCCTGAGGCATCATAACTCTTCTAAATGAAGACCTTCCGACTACCAGGATAGAGTTTAAATGTTTTGAATAATTTTTTCTGGTTAGCGTTTTTAGAGAGTTAGTTTTCTACGGGATGGATTCGCTAACCCCATACCAACCCTCCTCCTTTATCCGGGCTTTGGACCGACAGTAGCCCCCGAAGGGACTCCAGGCGGAGTTTTTGTTTCATAATGGCATTGAAATTTTCGAAATTAAAGATTCTTATTTATTTCAATGGTTTTTTTAAAAAAGTGAGTTTACTCCATGCGAGGTGAGCTGTATCATTCAATTGCAAGATAAGCGTCATTGGGATTAATCAATATATGATACTTGAAACTAATTAAGGAGTAATGTTCAAATCAACCTTGATCCTAGGTCAAATCCTCAAAAGGATGTTTTCATCTTTCAATAAGTTCCACTCACAGACAAATATAAAACATTTGAATTAGTCAGAGGTTGGTTTTTTAGAGATGAAGCTTATATTCACGATTTACCACATATAAATTTGTCGTGAAGTCATTCTACTGTTGTAAGTTCAGACAAAACATGACATAAAGTCGATGATTGTTGGTCTGAGTGATGTAGGCAGATGCAGACTATCTGGGTGGGTCATACACGATAACACCAACCAGTGACTGGATAATGTGAGTAGAATAGCTTAGAATCGTTCGCGACTGTGTAGATACACTCACTCTTTATTATCCCCTCGATCTTGAATCCCGGTGTTCCTCTATGTATAACTCTTCACTCTGTCTTTTCGAATCCTACCCTCAATTTTTATTTTTCGTTGTGATTGGTACTATGTTATTTAGATCCCTTCTGCTACACATCTTGTTGATTTTATCCGGTTATGCTAATGAAATATGACAACTTTGACCTCCGCACATCCGTGCCAGACTCTGTTAATGAAGCTGACTGTCTGGCTATATGTTTGGGGTGAGCTAGGAATGACATTAGTATGTAGTGTGAAAAACCGAATGTTATGTCCAAAAAATTGTGTTTTTTCTGAGGATGTGTTGTTTACTCGTATTCTCTAATTATTATTACTGTATGAAGACACTTAACTTTCAAAGTAACAAGTCAGTTTTTTAGCCTTGATCCCAATATGTAGAGTAATTCGTAATCTAATTCGCCATAGAACTTAGATCATACCTCAAATAATCCAAAGCTATCGATCATACTTGAGATCATCGATTGAATTGTTAACTAACTGAGCTTGGATTATTCGTAGTATTAATGGATGATATTTATTTTTTAGTAAGCTTGCTCTGTTTTTTTTGTAAAAGCTATATAAGGTCATCTGTTTTAATTGATCAATAGATCTCATTCGCTACTATTTTGATTTTAATGCGAACCATGTGATTATAATCTGTGCCTGAATAATCGAGTTGTCCAGCATACACTGTAAACAACTCGCTTTTCGATTGATGCAAGGTTAAATTGGGATCAAAAGGTTGTACAGTTCAGTCATTTTATCTAATTCGTGCACACGTATGACCGCGCTTATTTTGTAGCATATATTCAGGGTTCACTGACAAAATAAAACACCATCTTTATAAACATTACCAGTCAATTCAACCTATACATGATTAAAATAGATACTAAAACTAGTTTACAAGTATTTTATCTTGGATATCATCAAAGCCTTATCTGATTCTAGTGTTACTGTCAAGGAAACTTTACTTTTGTTCATCTTAGTGTTAGGTAGTTATGGGAAATTAATGGGTATGTTTTTGTAAAGTTATACCGATTCAATCAATTAGGGCTTGTTCTGTAAATACCCATCCAATTGCTGTTTTTGATTCTGTATTCAGCGTAAAATTGGGTTGGTATTAAATGGGTTATAGATGAGTAAGTTCATGAAGTTGTACATGAATGTAAACGTTTCATTATCGGATATCAGTCTTGATGATACAGGTCCGTTCATTTGTCAACCCTCTGTTAATCTTTGGAATTTCTATCATATCATTACTTTTTATTCCCTCACACCTTCACTCCCTTTGTTGTTCTCATATTTTTATGTTCTAACTTCTGCTACTGTAATAATCTTCAGTGATTTTTCCTCTTCTTGTTAACTTGAGTCAACTTCAACCAGTGCACATCTTTGCTGGATATTAGATAATTTTTTTATTCGTTCACTACCATTTTAATTGGTTCATTTGTTAATACTCAGCTTTCATCCACCAAATCGCAGGTTTAAACCTCGCTCCACCTGGTTCAGTTTTGGTTCCGTGTTGGTACCACTAATCCTCACAATAAGTGTGTCTCAAAGTCAGGGACACGAGTTTGTACATGATAAACGAGCTACCAAGTGGCGAAATTCTTGAGTGGTAGCTTAATTAATAAGGGGTTCAACTTCGGGTCACTAAGTCTTTATTTCGAACTCCGCTCCAGCTAATTCGTTTTGCGCAACCAGGCTGTCATTACCGCCCATACTTATAGTGGAGCTTGTTGAATAATTTTTATTATACATTTGAACTACTGTCATATTACGGGAGAAAACACAAGGTAGTCCATCCTGATTCTCATTGTTGATTGGTAGATAACGAAAGCAGATTTAATTAGTATGGTTTTCGTTATATTTTGTGTTAGTTGGAGTTTGAAGTGTTTCCTTTTTGGTTAAAGTCTGTAAGATAACTGCTTCTACCTGTAAACTTTGAATAATTAAGCGTGAAAAATAATGACATTTGTGTATGTATTCATCAATTTTTAATGTAATCAACACAATTATTGTCGTTTACTGGACATTAATTATCTTAACTTCTACGTGGATGTAAGTAACAAACCCATCACCATAATTATCTGTTCGAATTTTTATCATACTATCCCGTTTATTGTGTAACATTTTATCAAATATTCATTAAACAGGATTATAAAGGGAGTTTGAATTACACTTTTGTGGAACAGTAACTTATTGATTAAATCAGTCGTAATTAAGCAATTAACTCACTGGTCCGAACATCATTTCATTTATTTCTTTTCGGATAAACCTCTGTGGTTTTATTAGCACTTGTACAGACATGTGACTCAAAGTCTAAAGTATGGAAAACCTATGATTGGTTAATGAGTTATAAACGGCAAGTAGGTTGATAAGGTGGTGACTCTTTATCGACTAAGATGAAATTTGGATATGTGTTGCGTATGGACAATTACCGCCTACCTTGACACAATATGTTGACTGGTGTAGGAGTAGGTTAGAACAAAACTGAGGACGATCAAGGTAAGACGTGGTACCAGTCTATCAACTCGTTGGCTGTTGGTTTGAGCAGTGTATATAGTTTCAGATTATTTGATCAGAATCCGCGTGACTGTTGTGACTAGTGATTATAGATGCTAATGGAGAAAATGCAATGGAGCAGATGCACTCATTCTTCGTTCTCTCTTAGATCATTAGTTTTAACACTATCTCATACTTTTTGTTGTTCAAACTCATTCTTTCCTGCCGAATCATATTGTCTGTGCCGGATGTTTTCTACAATCAGTGATTCTGCCACTACTACTAATAATCTGACATCTGTCTGTGCTGATGTAGTGTAGCTGTTGGAACCAATGGACAGATTTATGAAGTTATACATTGCTTATGATTAACTGATTGATTGAATTATGCTAAAATTTTAATAGTTATTGCGAACATTAAGCTAGTGACGATCTAGAATCGGTAGCTAAGTGGATAACTACGGCGTTCGAAGTGAATGATACTAGTTTCCAGCCTTGGAGTGAACATCAACTCTAGGATGCAGGTACATTCGTCTGACGAGTCCCAAATAGGATGAGACGGCGTCCTACACTTCACTGCTAGTCACCATCCATCTCTGTCTATAGAGTTTTCTGTATACTTTAACAACAGTTGAAATTATTCAATTAATATAGAATCAATTTTTTCTATCACGAGTTATTTATTTACTTATAATTTCAGAAAATGGCATTTCTTATGGATTCTGTTCTAACTAATATTTTTAACCAGAATACTGAAATGCCTTCCGTTAGCAGTCGAAAATTACACTGTGATACTTTACCAATTTATACAGACTGTAGTACTAATGATAATCAAAATCGTTCTGAATCTATCGGATCCATACATCCTTCAGCAGAGTCATTACTTCAAATCAATCCTTTAATAGGTCAATCTTCAGTTTACACTTATTCATCTAATAATCTACCAACACTTACAATTGCACCTACTACTAATATCAATAATTCCTCACTTAGTACTGAAAAGCGTACTCAACTTAATCCAAAATTTCCTATAATTTCTCAAGGTAATTCCCATTCGAATAAATTAAATATTGTCCGATATCCACCGCCACCTCCACTAGTACCACAACCTGTTACTACTCATCCACAAATCAATCTTATCGATGGGAACTTTCAACAATGTGGACAGCCATCAAAAGACATACGTGAAGGTGATAATGCATTTTATAATTTTAATTCAATGATTCCTAAGAATGTTAATTCTACATTAGTAGTTATTGATCAGTCATCTTTACTCACTGATGATCAAGTTAAACATGACATTACATCAACATCATCGTCATCATCATCTTCATCACCTCATACAATAAACTCTTGTAACTTAATCATGAATGAGATGAATTTATCTAGAGAGCTGTCGTCATTGCATAATACTAGTCACGTCCAACAGTATAAAGAGTTTATTGACGATTTATTATGATTAATTTTTAAAAAAAATACAATCATCATATTCTATTTTTTCTATTAATTTCTAATCGACTCAAGAGTTCTTTCATTATCTTTATTCTCCTTCAAATGAATCCGCACTTGATCAAAAACACACAAACACGCACACTATCTTTTTCAAGATTTATACATATTTAGTTATTGTGTATTAAATCTATTTCTTTATTTATCTTGCTCAATCTATCCTCCACATGTCATTCTGTGATATTCACAGTGTAAACTCAAGTTTAATTTAAGCTAATTGTGGAAATTCAATCAAAATTAATGACTCATTTATTTATTTATTTGTTTATTTATTTATTCACATGCTTGGCTATCGTAATTCCTCTTCTATCTCTATTTTGTAATCACATGTATTATTATTATTATTATTATTATTATTATTATTATTATTATTATTATTATTATTATTGTTAATATTACAATTTGACGGCTTTGTCCTCCAACATTGTTTTATTCACATGGTTATTGAGCGTACATCTGATGAAAGACAAATGACTGGATATTATCAATTCTACGTGTTTTTTTAGCGACTATGTCTTCTCTAGCGAAGGTATGTTGGAGATTGTCTGTGATGAGATGATGCCTGTATTTTCTTTCCGGTTATCTTCGATTTCTCCTTGTAGTTAGCAACGATTTGTATTTGATTATCTAAGCAATCTTTTTTTCTATCTTGAACCATCATTATTTTATGCTTTGTTTATCTTTCTTTTTTAACCTCAAACGATTATTTGACATCTCAGTTGACTAATAATATCAAAAGAGAAAGCACGTGAAACTTGTGAACTACGACGCGTTGGTTGAATTTTTTATGGCAGAAAATACACCTGAGTTTTTTATTGCAGTCTTCTACAAAGTGAAATAGGATTAATATTTTGATGTAAAGTGGTTTCACAAGTATCATTTGACAGAAAACAAATCATTTGGCGTTAAAATTCAATCAGCATCAATTACCTTACACAAATATATTATTGACAAAATAGTGTAAACATCTCAGTCCTAAAGGATGTCAATTACGGTTCTAATAGTTTAGTGGTAACGTTTTTGAGTGTGATGCCGGGGTGACATGGTTTCGATCCTCACGGGCAGCATCAATTCTCAACATATAAACGAGTGTCAACTAGCTTGAAATATGTCGGTCAGGGTTTCCTATCAGGCACGTGGGGTCTCCCAACGTAGAGAAGTGGTACACGCAGTAAGTGGTTTTCTAAACCAGTGGTCAATAAAATTCGATTAGCACTAAGTAGACAAATATGATCGTAAGATGAATATGTATTTTTAATAAGTAATTACAATGGTTAGGTTTATCAATCTCATTTAGAACATATTAATACGTAAAGAAGTGATTGATTAATAAATTCCTAGGATGGTCATCGTTACGAGACTTCTGCAATGTTTACTCCTTGCTTCATAGGGAGATTTATCCAAAGTCCTTCATGTCTGGGGGAGAACACAGTTAAACAACATATTTACCTGCGCTCCCCGGATAGTAGGCATCACTCTGTTCAAGAAAGCGGAGTTTTAAAGAGAACATTAGTCATTATAGTGTCACAAGTAATCTTTTTTAAACGGCCTATGTCAGTTTTTTTTCTATGATGAAGGAGACATTCTGGTGAGCAAATCGTCTGAACGGTTCAAAAAATGTGTGAGAAATAAATTGTTTTTGCATTCTGCAGTAAATTCATAAAAGGTCTGCTTTATCTACGTAATATTTTCTTAAATATGTCTGGTCCCATCGGTGACTAAACTGACTACTAACATACTGTTCAGGTTTTCCAAAACATGCTAGGAGCTGTTTCTTGAAGCGTAAATCAGATCTCATTGAATTACTCATTTTTCCCTTTCAAATACTCAGACTCTCACACGTGTCACTGCAATTTTTAACACCAGGTGAGGTTTTATTTCTTTGTACATAACTATTCTTTGAAATTATCTGTTAAAAATAGCTGTGTCTCTATTTAGTATATTTGGAGCCTTCCTTACTGATTCCAGTTGATCGATGTCATAATTAGACTGAAAAAGTAAAGCAGCGAGGTTCGTTTTATTATAACTTGTGCCCTATTAATATATAACGTGATGATACCGCCAATTAGAGAACAGTAACTTATCGACCGGATCAATGACGCATAAAACCCATACGAGCAGTCTAGAGTCGTTATCAGTCCTTCTTCCTGCCTAACCCTGCCTGTTAAGTCCAGAACACCAATAACAACCTCTGTGATATGAATCATGTCTTCCAAACATACCAATCAAGGAGACCATAAGGTGAAAAATATCCTTTGTACAAGATCTGGCTAAAAGTGGCTATGAATTTGGGAGATAGTAATTGATAGACTGGACATAACTCAACAATGTTAAGTCGTACAATACTAGTTCATAGGTCAAAATAAAGCTTATAATAAGAGGAATATGAATATACATAGTTTAGTTACTTAACAATTACACAATAAAAATATATGTATCGTATTGATCCATAAATAGATTCTAACCGTTAGCACTTATTATTCTCGTCGGGATATAACACGTTTATGGAATATCTCTGTGGAATGATAAATAGTTACTTTAGTTTGAAATCTTTTAGCCTATCACAACATTCTGGATCAAATCTTATAGAGATCATACAATTCAATCGTTTAAGACATTATCAAATATGAAAAAAAAGAATCAAAATCCTGTTGTAGATCCTTTCAATAATTCACTTTTCATAAATAATTAATTATACACAAAAATCATGAATTAAAATCAAGCTCTTTTGTATTGTCAATTATCATATGATTTACTCCCCCCTTGTTTATAATTTTTTTTTACAATATTGTCATTTCAATTATTATATTAGTACCTTTTTTTGATATTTTATTCAACACTTCTATAATTACAATAGAAATACATTAAATGTAATAATGTTATTTTATCAAAATAAGCATAATGTTGTAAAATAAAACAAACATTAAAGCTTTAACCAAATGTTCAACAATAATGATCGGTTATATTTTATTTTCAAGAAAGAGAATAATGTTAGAAATCTGATAGACTTAAATGATTTGCAAATTGTATACAATTAAGCGGTAAATGTATATTATTATTGATTAACTAATTAAATCTATGATAGTAGGTATTTGATTTTTGCAATGATATTCCAAGACACAGTAGATAGTATATATATATATATATATATATATATATATATATATATATATATATATATATATATATATATATATGATTATGAATTAAGTAAGACCTAATACATTTCAAGAACTTATGATTAAAAGGTGCTACAATACAATAGTTCAACATGTAATCATTAGTGGGCTCATTATTGATTTTTATCGATTATTCGAAATTATCAGCAAATAAAAAAAATACAACTTCACATACGTCATTGAAGCGGTAACTGTTTAAAAGTAAACTAAATTAATATGATCACTGTGGAGATTGGAGTATTTTAACCATTTCTACAAATCCCCATACTAATAATAATCATATGCTCATTAGTGATTAGTTAGAAGTCGTGACCAATGGAGTCCAACTGTGTCGGATGGAGACAGTTATCCATCTCAGACAATGAATTAAGAGTTGCACAAGGTTATAGATCGATTAAAGTTAGATATTAACACCGTTGGTCTAGAGTTTAAGCGTTTCGCGCAAGACCGAAGGTCTCGGGTTCTAGTCCCGCGCGCGAAAACGTGATTGCCCACTGCTGGGAAGTCCCATACTAGGATGAGACGGTCGTCCAGTGCTTCTTGGTGTCCAATAGTGGTCTCTCTTAGATCGACTTATGAATTCGACAGTTAAACCAATATTCATGGAAAGAGATATTTGCTACTTAATCACTGCCATGGTGAATTCATTATTCTCCGTCAATTTCTTCCAATTATTATTATTGTTATTAATTTGTATTTTCAGTATAGGGCTTGTGGAGATTATCAAGTTTTTGATTGAGATCATGAACCGATTGATGTTAGACCACAACTCCTGTACTGATAATTACGTATGCTCACTAGTGACTAGCTTTGTGAGGGAATTTTTGGAGTTCTAGTGAGAAGCCGTAACCAGTGGAACTAATCCGTGTCGGGTAGAGACAGGTATGTACCTCAGTACAGTGGAAGATGGTCGTGCGATTTCGTGGATTGGTCGGTGTTAGACACTAACATCACAGGATGCCTACTCAGTTGTCTAGAGGTTAAGTGTTTGCGCCCGAGGCCCTGGGCTTGAATCCTGCGAGCGGGATCGTGGATGCGCGCCGCTGGGGAGTCTCACACTAGGAAAAAACGGCCGTCCAGTGCTTCAGGTTTCCAACGATGGTCTAACATCAATCGGTTCATGATCTCAGTCGGAACATTTGTATTTTATTGTTCGTTATTTTATCCACCTTATAACTATCTTTTGATTCATCTGTCATGTTGACTAAACTGATTGTTAAAATCTCTGTAAACTCATTAAATCTTCTCTAGTTATTACACAATCCGTCTTAGTAATTTCCGAATTCTATGTAATTATTACTTTACCCTCTTTAGTTCTCTATTCATAAATAAGAAATCTCAATCTGTACATAACTAAGTCATTTATGATCTGAAACTGAGTAGCAAGTATGTAAATAATTACTTGAAAATTCTGTACCGTTATAGGTAAGTCAACGGTTAATGAGTTTAATGAAACCACATGAGATTAGAGCAACGTGAAAGTACTTTAAACCATTAGTTTAACATATAAATAATATATATCCTCTAGAGAATAGCTTTCAAAGCTCCACACATTTTACTTACCCATTCATTTCCAGAATAAATTCCCAGAATTAATTGTTGATGTCAATGAAATAATTCTCTATGCACGTGTGTTGTTCATGCGAACTCTTAACCTAATTAGATGATCAATCTTACTTTAAACTACTTTCATTTATTTCTGACCCTGTTCAGGTCAGTGTATTAGTTTTCATTTGAAATATAGTGGTTCAATTTTTTGGAAGCTTGATATTAATGTTATTTACATTTTTGTGGAATAATCTAGTCCTCTATTCAATAGATAGTCTTCCAACATGTACACTGTTGAAAATTATTTCCAAATTAATATAACTCCGCATTACAGTTTAGCAATTAATCAGTTTAAAATATCACATGTAGACCACAAATCATTATTAACATACCCTTATATTAACCTTATTTTTTTATACGCTTGAAAGTTTAGTCGAACTCTTGATAATTATTAGATTATGTAATCTATTTTTGGCTTATCTTTACAGTAGTTAGTCTTATTTTACGCACACTTCTTGGGTAGTGCACGCTGTATTTCATTGTCATACTGGCTGAATATGTATATACTTCTGCCTGTTTCAAATCGACTGCTGTTGTGTCCTCCGACTGTTCTCTCTTATTTCACTG